CAATGGAATTCTATGCCTCCATCAGAAAGAATGACATTGCCCCATTTGTTAGGAAATGGAAAGACTTGGAAAAAATTATATTAAGTGAAGTAATCCAGGCCCAAAAAAACATAGGTTCCATGGTTTCCCTTATTTGCAATAACTAGTATATATCTGAGAAAAGCAGAAACGGTCAGATAAGTTGATGTTAGGTGAAATGAACCCCAAGATAAGGACTCAAATGGTTTTTCTTTATTGCTATTGTTTCTAACATATATATATATATATATATATATATATATGATGATTTCTTTGTTGCTTTGTATGTCCCTCCCCCACACTATAACCCCTGTTTTCACTGTATTTGATGTTGGTATAATGTGGGGAGGGAAAGGGCAAGGACAAATTGTTTAAATAGGGATACATGTGGACCCATTGCAACAATGAGATGTACAAGACATTATATTGAAAAACGAACTTTACAGCTTTGTCAAGGGAGTAGGGGGTTGGAGGGGCGGGGTGGAGATAGGAAGGGATGGTAAGGGGAAACAAAGGAGGAGGCAACATGTTTGATAAGAAATGTACTCATTACCTTGCCCAAGTAATTGTAACTCCTCTGTACAGTATTTTCACAATTAAAAAAATAAATGCAAAGCAGATGAATGAGGATTAAAAAAGGTGAACAATAAAGCAGAATATATAATGAAAATATATAAAGCACATCAGTGATAAAACTAAGAAGTCAAGCAGGAAAGGTACTTAGTGAATGGGGCTAAGATGGACTGTAGAATCTAGGCCTGGCTTCTGGGAGAGAAAGTTGATTCAGAGTTGCCATTTTTGGGTTGAGTGTGTCAAACGCTGAAGGTGAAGATAAAAGGGATTTAAGAAAAAAAAAAACCTTAAACACAGGCGGTTGGAAAGGGGTGGAGAAGAAATTAGCCTCTAGCATCATGAGATATTTTCAGAGGTGTGGGAGAAATGTAGAATAGATTCATATCACAGGGGATGTTGAAACCTTCCTGTTATCATGAGATTCTAAGACTGTGCTAGGCAGTATGGACTCAGCACTAAAATACTGTATCCAGAAGTATGTAGTACTAAAAGTGCTAAATGTCAGAGCAGTCAGGTCCTCACCCAGAAACTGAAATAAGAGAAAGGGATTGCAATTTCCAAGGTGATGATTGGCAGAAATGTGAAAATCAGTCATTCCCCCTCTCCTCTCCTACCTCTGTTGTTTTTTTTTTTTACCTTTCATCTTGCCAGCCTTTCCTTCTTTCTTTCTTTTTTTTTGCCTTCCCATCATCATGCTTTTTTGTATCTTCTCTGAAGTTCCTTTTGCCACAAATTCTGCCCAAAACACTCTTGTATGTGGCTTTCTTATATGTTTAATTTACTGATTAAATATTTTCCTAAAGACACTTGGGGTCAGTTGCCCAGAGTAAACACAATGGGTCATAGTACTCACTGCCATCTCCTCTAGGAAATCAGTCTTGGACTGGATCTGAAATTTTTAAAAATGTGGATCAATCAGCAGTAATCATGTATTATTTTTCTCCTGACATGTTTTGTCTAAGGGAGAGGCATCTAAAACTATTTTATTGCCCTAGAAGTATATCCCATGCTTAGGATTCTTTTCAAAAATAGTATCTATTAAGTGAGTGCCACCCTCCCCCCCCCATACACACAGTCTTAAGAAAAGAAATCTCTGGAAACTAGCACTTTTGTCTTGTTTCTCTCCCTTTAATATTCCATAACTTTAACAGAAGTGTAGCTCTGAAGATTATGCTGCTCTGGAAGCTCAAAGGAATGGGAGAGTGCAACAGAGAGAATCCTGGTGTAGTGTGTGATTTTCACTGTGGTGGGAAGCGGGTATGGCTAGGGGGGAAACAAAGCCGGGACGACCAAACACTTAGCCTTCAGCGTTGTTAAGCACCAGCTGGACAGCCAGGTGATTTTATCCTTGTTTTTTTCCTCTATGAGTCTATGTCTTGGGTCATTATTACCTTTTTTTGCAAGAAAATAGAGGTGCCAGTTAGATCATGTTAAATGAATGATAAGTATATGAAACAGAGTAAGAAACTCAATCATGCAGAAACAAGATGACAAATTAGAAAGTGATTCCCCATAAAAGGGCTGTCTACTAATTGTTTCAGGAAGTGTCTCTTTCTTTTTAAGATAGGAAGTTTTGTTCCTGCTAAGAAAAATAAAAATCCTATCTGGATCCCTAATGTATGACCTAGGAAAAAAAAAATAGCCTCCCCCCCCCTCCAAATTCAGAACGTCAATAGACAGGGTGACATTCTGGTTGTGAGATCTCAGCAAAGCTGCTTGCTCTTCCAGATTTGAAACTTATTTTCAATGTATCTTGTATAGGATAAAATAAAATGAATTTCATAACTTGTAATTTTAAAGACATTATAGTGTTTTGACAAACTCCTTCCTGATGAAAGCAGACTGCCTTAGCCATTCAACTAGCATGAGGAGAGATGCATTGAGCTCATAAAACTTTTTCCCATGTTCCTCTGATTCTGTGATGTTCTAAACTTTCAGACTTAACTGATTTGTAAGACGTAACCTGGTACGTACTCCTTTGAGGGAGAAAGAGAGATTGTATCCTGTGTGTGGAGGAGGCCCTGAGCAGAGGATGAGCGAGTACCACTGTGTTTCAGCTCTCAGGACAGCATCAGCCTACCGGGAGACGCCGAAGTGTGAGCCAGGACCATGGAAGCTTCTGTGTTGAGTCCAACATCTTGGGAGAAGCGGAGGGCCTGGCTGCGACAGAGCCGGAACTGGCAGACCCAGGTTCTTGAAGAGGAGGTAACGGCTGCCCTTCAGGATATCCCAAGTCCCGAGCCTTCCAACCTGGATGATGTTTTCCAGGAAGGTAAGAGGTTGTTAGACATTGCCTCGCGTCTCATGATGTCTTGTGGCAGGAAGAATGAATGACAGAAAGTACAAGTCTCATTTTGACTAGTTGAAATTAGTGTAAGGGACTGGGGGCATGGAGTGACACAAAATAATGGATTATGGGTATAAGATTATAAAACATATTTGTATCATTCTGAGAAGCTTCTATAAGAACTCAGGACAGGGGTTTTTCTAGGAACAAATGTTTTGGGCAATTTCTCTTTTGTCTGCTTGTTAAGATGACACTCAACCTGTGCCTGACATCTGGCCATAAGTCTGTCACAAACAGGCAGTGTGACCTTAAGGAAGTAAGTCATTAGGGAAGCCATAGCCCCCAGACTCTCAGTCCTTCTTTGAGGTTCAATTGAGACCACTGATAGAAGACTAAAACAAACTCTCCATTAGAAATAAACTCACCCTTGCTTATCTGTTAAAAAAGAAATTAAAGCTACAGAGATACTTTGCCTTATATTCTTTCTTTCTTTTTTCACCACAGAAAGCAGTGAATCTGGTATCTTGGGCATTTTTTTCAGGTTTGCTGGAGCAAGGGAGAAAGGCAGAGTGAAAAGACTTATCTGCTACCTTTATATGCAGCTATATTCCTCCTTTATACCTTAAAATAGGCGCGTTCCTCACCTAGCTTAAAGATAAATTTTGCGGAAGCTGGGTGCCTGTGGCTCACACCTATAAACCTAGCCACTCAGGAGACTGAGATTTGGAGATTGTGATTCGAAGCCAGCCTGTGCAGTAAAGTCTGCAAGACTCTTATCTCCAATAACCACCCGCCCACCAAAAAAGGCAGAAGTAGTGCTGCAGCACAAGTGGTAGAGTGCTAGCCTTGAACAGGAAAGCTCAGCAATATCACCCTACACAGAGAGAAAGAAAGAAAGAAAGAAAGGAAGGAAGGAAGATAGAAAGGAAGGAAGGAAGGAAGGAAGGAAGGAAGGAAGGAAGGAA